TCCTGAAGTCTCTGAACTCTAATCAAAACAATCTTAAAATGAGGCCCAACAGCAGAGGAAAACAGGAATAAGACAGAGGATTTCAAAACTCATTTCAAAATTCATGATTCTTCTTCTTACTTACAAGTGTGATGCTTCAGACAGTAATGAAGAGCGCAGAGGAAATGGCATAATAAAAAAGCAATTTAAGCCTCCTCACTCAGTGCGGATTAGACACTGACTCTCCTTCCATCTAAACTTGGAAAGAGTTACTTGAATTCCTGCCTGATATGGCAATGAGAAGATTTTATTGGCATGGAAGTCCCCATTGAAAGTTTAAAAAATGGAGATTATGTTTTAGCAACGTTCAGATTTTTCTAAACTTAATCTTTAAGGATGACATTATTCAAAATTATATTTAAGAATGTCTGTATTGCTCCTTTTGCTACAAAAAAAGAAAAAGCTCTATACAAGTTTAGAAAACATGGCCAAACTAACAGGAGATGATGGTAAAAATGAAAAATACTTATTTAGTTGGTTTTCTTCTCCACAAGTCACCAGAGATGCCATAAATAACAGCACTAAGAAATCTATAGCATGTCAACAAATGACATGAGGAAGAAGGTCTGATACATTCCTTTAAAACTAGCCGTAGACCGACCAAAAGGACATCATTTCTAGATAGACCAGAGAGCCCTTTAACATCATTTATGAATACTGCAGCTCTGTTACAAGCAACTTTACAAAAATGGATAGAAGAGGATTTAAACAAGGTAGATGAACACCACCAAGCAAGAAAGCTGGAAGATGATCTATCTAAAGTTTAGAAAAATAACTTCCTTGGTGACCTACTAATTCCCCAACCTGTCCAGCTTTGTGAACCGGTGGGATGCGGGGTAGGGGATGCGCGGCAGATACGCACGTGCAGACTTCCATTGGCTAATTGTTTGCCACCGCTTCTGCGGCCTGGTTCTGAAAGGCTCAAGGACCAGTAGTGGGCCACAGCTTGGGGATTGGGGACCCAAAACAAAACATTTTTGTTCATTAGGAACAAAATGAAATTACATTGAGTCCTGACAGCTCCCATGCTAATGTATAAACAATAAGACTTCTTTATAGATCTTGTATCCTCAGGTTGAAAGCTCTAAAGAATTGATCACAAGCGAAGCAGAAAAACCAAACAAATAAATATCTCGCCCCCAAAACACTACCAACGTTGTAAGGGACAAAGGAAATAAAAATACAAAGGCATGTGTGCAGCAGTGTATCCGAAGGTTCATAACGTTCTTTTCTCCTGGGCTAGATGGAATAGGTAACAGAGAAAAATGAGGGTATGAACTACATACCCTTTCCATATTTGTCAAAAGGTCTGATGATGGCTATGTTTTGAAAATGCATTATCTCGTATCTTATATTCATTTATGATATTTACTTTCAGCATAATTTAATAAAGTAGTGATAGAGATTAACCTGATTCTGCAGATGTCAAGCCCATAAATAGCTGGGAAGATTGCTGTGCTTTCTTTTTGTAAAGTTATTTGTTACTCATTTCTAGATTATAATTACAGTGAGTTTTATGTGGATCACAATAAAGGGGGAAGTGATAGGATTAAATTCCTAAAACTTTGAAACGCTTGACTAAATATTCATTGTTATAATTCTGAAGTAGCATGAAATCATCAACAATAAAACAAAAAAGGGGGGAAGAAAAAATGAATTAAAAGCAGAAATAATTCAAAGAAGCAATCCAAATTGTAGTACTCAAATCCTTTAGGATAGGCTAATTCACTAGGAGGTAATTCTAATTCTAACAGAAGATTTACTTATAAATTTACAATTTAATTGTGAGTAAATATATACTGCATTTATTGCTACTATAAAATTTTATATGAAGCTTTGTATACTAAATTTATATTTTATTTTAAAAGGGAACACAAATAAGAATCCTTTTATATTGTTTTTTAAAGTGAATTCTAAATATTAGAGTTCTGAATGACATAGACCTTATTTTTAGTATAAATACAAATGTTCAGTTTATATTAGTAATATGCCCTGAAATATGCACTTCTGAAAATAACATACTTTGATATTCCACTTGTTGGTAGCTGTTACAATGTTAGCAATGCTTAAAAAATGCTTTTTTATAAATGGCAGCACCCAGCTCGTTGCTTTTTAAAGCTATAAAACGCTGCCAAAGACATGCAATGTTTTCGTCTTAGAGTGCAATACTTAATATATTTAATCCAAGTTTGCATCATTCCTATGTATGTTTACCTGCAAATTAGTTTTAATGTTTGATAGGGCTTACTCACTTATATATGCATAAGATTGCAGCCATAGCTATCCACTGCACCAGTTGAGTTGAAAAAGATTTACTCAAGTTAAAATGCACAAGAATTTCTTGAATATTACACAATCCTGTGCAGATTAAAGTGGAAGAAAGTTCTGCTGTTTTCAGTAACATCTACTTTCAGTAAATGTGTGAAATGACAGAGTTATGATGGCATATATCTGGAACTATCAGATCTGGGCTACACGCAACATTTACTTCTAATTAAACATGCATATGAGTGTAATGTTAGAGGCCACAGTATTATATACCAGTCATCCTTCTTTCACTTATCTGTCAAATTACTCAGATAAACATATCAATTGTAGTCATTGTATACTTAGCATTCAAATTAATTCATTGCATTAAGAAAGAATTCAATGCTTGCTGTAATTTGTTTACTATAACCTAATCTTCTTGAAATATTTTTACACCATCATGAAAATACAAAAGGATGAATTGTAATTGATCCAGTGCACCATATATGCATGCCAAGTATACGCATGCAGCAGAATACAAACTTAGAAGCTTAAATGTGGTTTAGTAATAGACGTGGAAATAAATGATGAACATCAAATGCACAAAGTTTTGTACATGCACGAGTAATTTTACTGGACTCTGACTACTGTTCTTAGCAGCAGCATTATGCAAGACTCTGTAAGAATATATAAGGGCTGCAATCCTATGCATACTTACTTGGAAATTTAACTCACTGAACTCAACAGGATTCTGAGTATATATTTATTCACCTCTGAAGACTGGTAGCTCATCAATAGTTTTTCCCAATAAAACATCTATCCCATATCCTGAAAAAATAAGCAAGCATTGAGAATAAATCAAGTCTTCATAAATCTTTAATAAAATATCTAAGCATTATTGCTTAGATTTTCAGAATATATTTACTGATTTTCTAGCACCAAGGACTGAACCTAGAATAATATACTGTTGTGCATTTATCCTTTAAAAGGAGGGTGCCATGTTTACAATGCTGAAGTAGGATCTGGAAGATCTAAATTGTGATGTTTATCGATAGAACTTGGGAAGTCAGGATCTTGCAGCCTCATCTTCCTCACAAGGTTATTTGAGGATGAGAACCAGCAACACTGTTTAAAAGGCAGGCTACATACATAAGATAAATTATCCACACAGGAAATGAACATGCAGTGCTGTTAACTAATCAACACAGAAATGGCTACAGTAGATTGGTCATTAAAACTCCAGGATTAAAATAGCTAATTCCAATGGAGCAGAGAAACAATCTTCACACCTTTTGCAGTTCTCTTGGGTCATGTTTTATGTTTCTCAGTAGCAGTGCCTCTCCACCTTCATAACAATTTTTAAGGAGGAACATGAGCTGCAGATAGCATTGATTGTGAAAATTGCCTTCCTACCCTCTGTCTCTTAGATCAGCAGAATTCCAGTTATCACTTGTCTGATCCAATCCACCTATTAGTCATATATTTCAAGAGTAGCAAAAAAAGTTTATGATGAATAATAAGAGAAGAAAGAAACAGAGCATGATAAATGATAGAAAATGAAGAATAAAATGTTTATTTCCTATGCTTACTACCAGTTATAACAGAGGAAATAAGCCATTGCCACAGAAATCCCTAAATTATGTCTTAGTAGGATTACTAATTTCAAAAGTCTAAAAAAGGATCTCTCTCTCTCTCTCACACACACACACACACAGAGGGATTGTTATTGGTTTAACAAGGCAATAAGAAGGAAGCAACACCAGACAGTGATGTCACTCTGTGTAGAAACAAAGGAAGCTGCCCAGGCTGAAAAACTAGAACCTCCTTTTCTGACCCAGATAAAGAAAAATATTTCTGAATTGACAACTAGAAATTCCTAGAATTAAATACCAAATCTATCCATTATAGTCAATTAAGCACAATCTTGATTATACTACTTGGAAATAAAATTCGCTAACATTAAAAGTTGAATTCCGAGTGAAAAACAGTTGGAATCTAATACATCTTAATTCACCTAAGATAGATATTTGGTTTTTTTTTTTTTTTTTTGTTTAACAAAGTCTGTATTTTGCCCAATATTCCAAGCTTAAGTGGTTTATATTTTGTCTTTAAAACCTTTAAAACCTGATTCATTGTGCCTATAAAACCACAAACCAAATTGTGAATACTCGCATTTTTAATATAGTACTGAAAAGCAAATAAGGGAGGGAGGGAGGGAGGAAACAAAGTCTCCTCCACCAGACTGGAGGAGGACGTTTAGATGAGAGAGATCTGGCCAGATGTCAAATTTCAGGCCTCAGGAACTGCTACTGGTAACCATATGTGAAAGGAAACCCCCTACTTTTGTTTGCTCATCGGTGGCCATTTATTCCAAACCGACAAGGCAACAGACTTTTATTTTTAAAGACAAACACACCCACGAAACCAACGGATGGGGATCTTGCATTGGTCCATTAGCGATTGTAATTTATGTTTCCCTTCCCGATGAAGCCCGGGGTCAAAATATACCCTACAGGCGCCCAAGCTGTTCTCCCCCCACCCCCACCCCGCCCGCCGTTACCTTCGATCCTTAGGGTGCCACCACGACACCCCCTTTGTCGCTCTTGTTGCAACCGATCGATTCGGCTGCCCCGTTAGAAAATTCCCCCTCGCTGAGTTTCATTCTCCTATCCAGCCCCAACCGGGACCGGCTCCTTTTCGGTTTCTCGCTATACCTGATATGGCGGCGGCGGCTCCTGATCCGGTTCAGTCCCATCCCCGTAGCTGGCCCTGTCCGATTGGGACTCGTGCAGCAGGGAAATATCATCCGAAGTGGGCGATTTCAAGCAATTTCCCATCTTCCCCAAAGGGAAGTGGGGGGCCTCCTCCTTCTCAGAAACACAACGGCACCTCCAGGCGACAGCGGCGGCTCTCCCTCGGCCTTTCCCGGGCAGCAGCAACTCGATACTGGAAGCTCATGCCAGCTCCTTACCCGACCTAAGCTGCTTAGCCTCTCGTCCGCTCGCCTCAGGGAGTGACCATCCCTTTCTCGCCTTCCGCCAGAATGCCCAGTCACCGCTCGAGCACCGAAAGAGCAGCAGGAAAGAACCGGAGAGGCTTCAGCCCTCGGGCACCATCAGGGCCTCAGCCCAGGGCTCCTCTGGACCTCTGGGAGTTAGGAGAAGGGGGAGGAGGCGTCCAGGTAGATAGAGCCCGTTTCCTCCCTAAGCCTAAAGCGGCGTTCTTCTTCCTGGTCACCAGCCGTCTACGCAGCGAGCTTTGTCAGCCAGGCCTCTCTAGCTCCTCCTTCTGCATTGATGCCCGCCGCTGCTACGGCCTGCTTTAGCTAACCACAACCTTAAATCCCACCTTCCCTGCGAGCCAAAGGGAACTGGCAGCCCAGGATTTAGATTTCTGAACAGTTTCTCTTTATTGGGCCTGGAGAGGTATTTCTTCCGCATACAGTAATATACCACAGATTAATTTTATAGTTAAAATAGGGCCTCGGCAGACCTCAAGTTGTATATTCATTTTGGGGGCACTGCAGTTCCTAAAACTTCTGGCACTTTTTTGTTAAACGACTGCATATATTTCAGTCAGAGTAAAAAGCTTAATCCTTTGCATGTTTATTCAAAGGCACAATTCATTCCAATATGGTTTCTAGATAACATTGCAGTATTACTAGTTTCTTTCTGACTAATCAATGTTAAAGATATTACATTACTTGTGGTCACACAATTCAATTGGATTCGAGTAAATAAGAATAAGATTGTATTGTAAAATCATATATTTCTTCTGTTGGTTTTCTTGTGAAGACAATATTGGATATAAAAAAACCCTAAAAATGCGGTTTTAAATATTGACTTTTTCATAGGCATTGACATTGTCCTGCCCAAAAATCTTTTATAAATTTCATATTAAATGCTCTTACTGAGGTCTTGAGCAGCATTACCAATCTACTTTTCCAAAGAATTTGACTTTACATATCAAACTGTTGAAAACAATATCTAAAAATTTATGTATTAAGTGACAAAACCCAATTAATTCTAATGTGATTAATTCTACAATCCTCTTGAATGCCAAGAAGTGTTCAGCTTTCGCATTCTTTATTCCGTATTAGCATAGCAATTGATGCCATATACATTTCCAAGTACTTCCCATTCAGTTAAGATTCCATTATTTAAAGTTGTCACAATATGTATAGACCTCAGCCATTTGGGATGTAGTGATTAGTGGATTTCATTGCTGGTGGAATAAATATCTACCAGTTGCTGTTCTGACCTGAGTTCAGAGAGGTGGTAAACTGTGATAGTTGGCTAGAGTGGTAGTCTTAGTCATGAGAAACTTAACAGTATTGCTCTAAGTATTGTGACAAGCAGGTTGCCGTAGACTTTGGTTTCATGAACTTTATGATTTCTAGCAATTGTGGTACTGCTAGGAAGATAGACTAAGATCTCTGTACAGCAATCTACTTGCCAGACCTATGCAGAAAAACATGGTCCAATAGGTAGGTCACTGCAGGATGTTTTGCTTCCACATGGGATGGTATTTAATACACTCACAGGGCATCCCGTGCAGTGAACCAGACTCATGGAGAAACAGCATCTCAGAGAACTTACCAGTTTGGCTATTTTTCTCTACATGAGTCTAATGGGCAGGTTGCTTTAGAATCCTGACCTCTGGCTTTTTCTTAACAATTTACCAGTGTTTGTCATCAAAACAGGTATTTCAGTTATACTCACCAACTGTAACAGGAGACTAAAAACTGATGGTGGGGAATGGAAGTGCCCCATCTTTCTTATACCCTTGCCATAGAAACTCAATAAACTACAAAAGGAAGAAAGTGTCGTTCTCCAATCTGCTTAGCAGTACAGCTCAGCATTTTTTGCCAATAAACAATAAATTATTCTGGGACTTTATATATAAGGCTTGCTTATCCATAGTGAAAATGGCTGTTATGATTTACATCCATCGTCGTTATGCAAAAACTTGAATTTCCCAGCAAGTTGGAACTTCAACTTCCCGTTTAAAGGAAGAAAAATTTTCTACTTTATTTCATAACTTCACTATATGCTAGTGAATTATGCAACTAGGTCAATACAACCAAACTTTACATGACACTGTATCACAAATGAAATATTTGTTTTTGATTAAAAAGTATGTAAAAACTGTCTCAATCCCATGAATAATATCACAACTGTTTTTCATTGTGTTTTTCCTTATAACAGTCCAAATGATCGAAAGCTATGTTCTCCTAGGCCACAATACACTATTAATAAAACATTGTTTACTGATTATTTACTGATGTCAGGTTTCACTCTTGATGCTACCACAAGAGTCAATGACCCACAGAAACAAAATCTCAGTAAATGGACTTGAATGCCATTGATTCACATCTCATGAATTCACCCAGATGGGTTTGAACAGTTTGGGTAGTTTCTAGTTCTGATTGGGAATTAGTCAGTTTTATCACAATAACACTCCCCAAAAAGCCCCAGCATCCTTGCTTGCATGAGTGAGCATAAATGGAACTGAATGTGTAAAATCCTTACAGGAACCTGCATTGAATGCATGAATGGTTTGAGGAGTTTGAAATCACTTGAACAACCCACAGAGAGGGCAAGTCTTATCTTGATGTAATAAATTCTGAATGTCTTCTAATAGTATAATTCTCTTAGGCCATCTATAATACATTCTACAAGTTTTATGGATGCTATGTTGTTGCATCTGTGTACACACACGCACACACTGTTGTGAGTCTACAAAACATTTTGTAGTCAAAATATCCCAGTTTCAAAATATCTAACCCTAACCAGAAATGCCATGATCTTAAAAAGAAGCATCAAGAATGGAGAACTTCCTATAAAGCTGGAACAAGACTGTCACAGAACTGTGTGTGCTATTATTAATGCGACTGTATTCAGTTAAAAACTTCGCTGATTAATGAAAAAAATAGAGTCATCAGCATTTTAAGGTTAATTCGAACTTTTCAATGTGATATAAATATACGGATCATGGATTTTGTACTTCAGAAACACGAGTCAATGATTGTACTGGACGTGATGTATTACTGGAGGAAGCCTTTACGATGTCATTTTCAGATTTTGATCTTGAAATAGTTGGTTTCTTGAGCTGCGGTGACATATCAGTATTAATATAATAGTTTTGATCATCTTTCGAATAATGGTTGGTTTGACATGCAACAGAAACAGTTTCTTTTGCTTTGGGAGTAGTGCTGGACAGCTTTGAACATGGTTTTTCTATAATAAATTCATCTGATAAAGAAAATTGCGCTGAGCAAATATCACAAACATCATCATAGAAAGATTGTACACTTCCACTGGACCGAGATGGAAACACATATGCTCTGGATCTTACAGTCAAACTTCTGTGCGACCTTTTTGAACCTCCTTCTGTATCAGAGCTATCATATATTTTTTTCACAGCAACATGATCTTTGGCATCTACATCTGTAGTGAAATAGTTAATATTGTTCATTAAAATATGTGTCTTAAAATGAATTTATTTTCAATAATACCAGTAGTAAAACTAATCTGAAAACTAGTTGATAACTATCTCCTATTCCAAAATTCCTTCACGTTATTTTGTCTCTAATGTTACCACAAGAATATATCAAATTATGTTAAACAGTACAAAATAAAACACTAACTCAGACACAGGACAAAATT